GGGGGAGGGTGTTGCTGGAGTCCCCAGGGGCTTCCCCAGTGGCAGTGAGTGCTGCCGGGGGTGACCCTTGTGCCAGCCTGTCCCACTGGTTTTCATTCTGCTTTCCCCTTCTCTCCCTGCGCAGGAGCGGACACGAGAGCTGGCTGAGAAGCAATCCCAGCAGTAAGTGCAACCCGCTGCCCCTCCTTGTTTTGCCCTGAAAGGGGAAGAATTTAACTCAGTTCTTCCTCCATGAGTGAGAGGAGTCCGTGCCTGGCTGAAACCACCTCCCAGCCTGCCAGCATCTGTGCACGCTGAGTTTTCCTGCTCAATCCCACACATTCAGCTCTCTGGTCCTTTCACCACGGAGCTTGCGAGACCCCTGCTTAGGAATGTATGGAAAAGCAGGTGAGGTCAGAGGGGAACAGGACCTGCACCAGCTCTGAGGTCTTCTCCAATCCAAGACCTGGCCTAGACTTTGCACATGTGGCTTCAGCATTCCTGAGGGATGTAGCGGGAATGGCCCCAGCAGGGATCTCACCTTGTTCGTGCTGAAGAACCCCCCTGCAGAGCAGGGACAGCACTGATGTAGCACATGTGCAACCAGGGATGGTGGCACAAGGTGTCCTGGGGTGGGGAGTACCACTCTGGGGCCATCACAGCAGTGTGGGGGCTTCCCAGCTGTTTCCAAAATCCAGGCTCCAAAGCAGCATCAGCAGTTCTGAGGTTGCTTCCCAGGCCTGTCCTATGGCAGGAAAGAGCAGTTCAGCAGTTGAAAAACTTCCCAGATGCTTTTTATTTATGTTGTTTTATTTTTGAACTGCCCAGTGCAGGCGGGCTGGGTTTAACCGTCCAGAGCTGGCAGGAGCAGCACATACTTCTTGGGAGAGCTGCTCTTCAGCCAAGAGTATTTACTGCAGTTCAGCTGTTTTGTGGGGAGACCCTGCCCCAGAAGTAGCACCCAGAAAGGCCAGGTGGCCCTTGGCTAGCCTGGTCCCTTCAGGGTCCCTTTTGTCATCCCACAGAGCAGGAACCAACACATTTTTGATTGTAAAGGGTCTTCCTAAGGAGGTGCTGGGCTTAAGGGTGAGGAGATGCAAAAGCTCTCCTGGCATTGACCCAGGCTGGCTGTTTTCTCCCCAAAAGCTTGAGTGGGGATGCCGAGGATCAGGAGCAGTAACACTTACTGTGTATCTCCAGCCACGACCCTGCTACCCTGTCCTGCTTCACCATCACAGACCTTCTCCCAGACCTACAGCACATCCTCTTCTGGATGGCCAATGCCATTGAGGTCCTCTACTTTGTCCAGCAGAAATCACCCACCTACATCCAGAGCATGGAGGAGGAGCTGGATGTCAAAGGTAGGCCTGGATGCAGCACCTTGCTTGCTCCATTAATCCTGGGTCACAAGTGGTGGTCAGTGTTCCCGAGGTGCTCCTTTAACCCCCCTGTAATCCTCATCAGCAGGGACGTCTCCATGGGGCAGGCTGGGGTAAATCTGTGCAGGAGGAGCAGCCTCATGTGCTGCTCAGCTTCGGGGCCAGGTTGTGTTGTGTTCACAGCTGAGCCTCTCCTTTCCAGCCCAGCAGCTTGTGGTTGATGCCTTGTGCCCCCCCAGGCTGTTGCAGGGGCACCTCTGCAGGCAGCCCTGCAGAGGGGCTTTGCTGGTGGGCACCTGGTAATGCCAGAAAAAAAAAAAAAAAAAAGGTAAAAAAAGAATTAAAAAGAGATTAAAATGGAAACCCTCTGGTCTATGCAGGAAGGTAAAATGTCTGTAGGTCAGACTGGCTCCTGGAAGGGTGGGGCAGAAGCCACCATGCTGTGGCACTGGGCTGCCATAGGAGACAGAAGGCTGCTCTGGGACAAGAGGAGCTTCATTGTCCCTGTTGGGGGGATGCCACAGGGTGATGCCAGCCCAGGAAAACTAATCACCCCCACCTCAGGGATTTGGGGAGCAGTGAATTCATCCCCCCTTGCTGCTGCAGGTTGGCTCCCCTGTGCTTCTCTCCATCCCATAGGCTCCAAGGAGTCTCTGTTCTCCTCGACCATCACAGCCAGCGAGGAGGCGATGACGGTGCTGGAGGAGGTGATCATGTACACCTTCCAGCAGTGTGTCTACTACATCTCCAAGGTACATGATTCCCAGAGTGGGCAGCAGTATCCTACAGGGCCACCACGACCATCCCCAGCAGCTCTCGGGCTGCGGAGGAGGCTTTTTGTGGGGTTTTTTTTGTGTGGTGGTTTGGGTTTTTTTTAAGCTTTTACTCTTTGGCGGTTGCATCAAACCGAGGTGTTTTCCTTCGGGCTGAAGTGCCCCGATTTTTGGTGGCAGCCCAGGAGAAGGGTTGGCTGGCTGGGGTGTGTTTCCCTGCCTGCAGTGCAGCCTCGGGGGCGGCGTTTGGGGAAAGCTGCTTGGCTCGGCATAATGGGGCGATTCAGGGCGCAATGGAAAGGGGCCCCCGGGCCGTCGCCGTTGGATCTGGAGAGCCAGGAGCAGGGAACAGAGTGGGCAGTGTGAGGCAGGAGAAAGGCTGCTGTGTGCGGGGAGGCAGGGGCTGCAGCACCCTCCTCCCCAGCCCCTTCCCCACCCCCGTAGCTCAGCAGAGGTGGGTGCTAGGGTGCTGCTCTCCCATTTCAGCAACAGGGAAAGGTCATCCCGTCAGTCCTGGTTTTTCACTCACCCTGGTCTCCAGCTGCTGCTTCAGATCAGTTTCCAGATTCCTTTAGCTGAGCTGTCCCACTCTTGTCATCTCCAACTGCTGAGAGAAACAGACATTTGTGTTTTTCTTTAAACACTTGCCCACCCCCAGAGCGCGTCGAGGCAGAGGGCGAGTGGGAGCGGGGCCAGCAGGGTTTGCTCAGCTTGTGGAGGTGAGGGGGTCGGAAGGGTTTGGCTCGTGCTAAAAAAAGAAGAAAGAAGCCCAAGCAGGCTTGTGCTGTGAACTTGCTGCTCTCGCTGCAGTGTCTGTACGTGTCACTCCCTGCCCTGCTGGAGTGCAACCCCTTCCAGAACGAGTGCCGGGAGAGCTGGCGGGCGGTGCCGCCGCTGCCCGAGGAGCTTCGCAGGGTCGTGCTCATCTACCAGGCCACGCTGGACCTGCTCCGCCAGTACGAAGTGCACCCAGAGATCACCTCCCAGATGTTCGCCTACCTCTTCTTCTTCTCCAACACCCTGCTCTTCAACCAGCTCCTGGACAAGGGTCAGTCCTCCTCGAACACCCAGCCTGCATGGGGTCGCCTGCAGGGGACTGGCCCTTTGGGAGACCCTCCGGTCCATCCCAGTGGCACCCCGGGGGCACAGGAGGGAGGAGGCTTCAAGCAGCTTGAGGGGGCTGGAGATGGGCAGGTGTGGGGAGGTTATGGGAAGGCCAGGCACAGCCCCAGCTGCTTTCTCCAGGGTCCCTATCTCCAGGAGGGGTTTAACCCCACCGGTGCCCCATCCTCACCCCCTTCAAGAGCACTCCCTGCCCTTTTGAGACTGAGAGCAGCTTGGAGGGGCAGCTCATTAATAAACCACTGCAGCCTCCTTTGTAACGCAGGTGCTCGTTAGCCCTCATTAACACAGCAGCCCCATTACCTGCTGTTAGGGCCAGGTGAGGTCCAGCCACCACCAGGAATTACAGCTATGGAATGCTGGGGACATTAACCTGGATTTATTTTGCTGCCTTGGGATAGGGGCTGGGTTTTGGCCAAAGGCTGATGGAGGGGGTAGGGGAGCTGGTCTCTTACATGACCTGATGAATGCTCCTGCATCCTGCCTCCACAGGCTCCTCTCTCAGCTGCTTCCACTGGTCGCAGGGGGTGAAGCTGCGGGCCTGCGTGCGGCTGCTCCTGGAGTGGCTGCGCGGGGCCGGCTTCGAGCAGCTCGCCCAGCAGTTCTTTGCCAAACTTGCCAGCGTGGCCAACCTGCTGGCCATGCCCGGCTCCCAGCTGGTCCAGGTGAGGGATGCCCAGCCAGAGGTTCATGGGATTGGGATGAATATAGGTAGGAGAAACCCCTGCTTGGCGTTTGAGGGTCCCTGCAGCGATACGTCCCTTCTGCAACCTGTAGCCAGCTGCCCCTTGCCGGGGTGGTGGGTCTGTGGGTGGGGATACTGAGGGGATGGATGCTCAGGCTCACTCCATCTTGCCCAGCCTCTTCCCCCATCCCCCTCGCGAGTCCCTGCCCCTCCGAGAGCAC